TCATTTTTAGCACTATCATGTTTAAACCTTATTTTGCAAACAGGTAGGATATAGATCCTAAGTAAAGTATCACCAAATCAACTCCAGTGATTCATTCAAAAGATCATAACCAAGCAGAGTTTATTTTAAGACCAACAAAGATGGTTCAACATTAGCAAATCTATTGCTATAATTCTCCACCTTTAATATATTAAAAGACAAAACTATGTGACTATTTCTGTAAGTGCTGAAAAGGCACTTGGTAAAAATTCATCACCTGATTCTGACACTCTTGCTAAGCCAGAAATAATAGATAGATAAACAAAGCATTTCAGGCTACCGGGCAATGTGTCAAATTGAGGAGCCTCTGGGGTCATCCTAGCCTATGATAAATCACTAGGGAAAAAGAAAAGGTATAAGCAGCTCTGGGAGCAGGTACCTGTTCTCAGTAGATAGCATGTTATCTACATAGGCTTGGTGTATTGTTGCCATGGCCTGAATCTGGTTCTTTAGATCTTTTGTTTTTTATGTTTCATTGGTGTTTTGCATCAATCTAGTATTTTAAAAGAGTGGGACATATTTATGATTCTGTTTTAAAAATCTCTTTTGGGTAAGAAGGTGTTGATCTACCATTTGAATGTCATAAAATTATTTTTAGATGTTCCTTGAGTTCATGAAGGTAACATGTAAATTTCTCACACTGACTATCAGACTACTTTTAATTATATATTGCCTTCATAAATGCAACCATTATGAATTCTGAAGCCTTAGCCTGAAGCTGTTGAAAATCAGCTGCTTAATCTTGTCATATTTTTAGCTACTTAATGTCAATCTCCTACCCCAGCCCTGTAGGTGAATGTCACAGCCACTAAATTGGGTGTCAGGAGCACTGTGGCCCTCAGCCTTCTTACAGTCCCCACATCATACAAATGTTGCTGCTGTGATCAGTACAATGAGCATTCGGTTATTTTTCCAATGTCAAATGGCTTTAGGGGAACAAGCTGCAGCTTTTCTTTGTAAGCCAGTGTAATATTTGCAAGATAACTAACAGTGAAGTCAGAGATGCAATCCTGTGATTGGTGCAAAAGTAACAAGCCTATCTTGACAATCAATGACTCTTGGTTAAGGAACATTTCATTAATATCTCTGTGAGGAGGTGAGGGAGAGAATACAACAAGATAGAAATCCAGATGAAATTAAAGGGTGTCACCAGAGAAGAGGTCACATGGTTCAGAAAAAGTATTGTGCTTTTATTAATGGCCATTTCTCAACTGCCTTCCCCATATATACACACCAGCAAGGGACCCACTATGCCAGCCCCTGGGAAGTATAGTTCAGGAACCCCCTTTCCCACCTACCTCCACTCACTGCAAGACTAGTCTATAGTCTCTAGCTCCTCTGAAATATTGGTGAATAATTATTTTTCCTTCCTATGACATTGTTCTTCCTAGTCCCCACTTTAGAGTGCCAGAGGCTGAATCTGTGGTCTATCCCCTGCTGTGTTGATGATCAAATGTGAGAGGCAACAGGCTGCCTGGGAAATGGTAGTGGTCCACCCTGCTATTTAATGGAGACTCAGCTGTCACAGTGCCAGGGAGAGTGTATGTCAGGACTCAGCATTTTCAGTTCCAGCCCCTGAGTAGCCCCTTTCCCCCCATATTTAATTATCTGGAAAAGAGTAGGCATTTAGTGCATAACAGTCTGCTTCTATGAGAGGAAGTCTAGAATTGGTTGGTACTGTATTTGGAAAGCAGCTCAACTCCGTGGGGTGAAATGTCTGCCTTCTCATAAGCCGATTGTAAGTTCCAGGATTCGGCTTAAGTGGGCTGCTGTCAGAAAGAAACCTTGCCTTGTTACTCTGAATAAGGAGTCCCATAAAAAAATACCCCGACACAGCCATTCTCATTAAAATCAGTTGGAATTTTGGACAAGTCTCAAGTATAAATTATAACTTTATTAGCCCATAGAGCTTTCTCACAAGAAAGTAAATCTAATAAAAATTAGAGGGAACTTATTAAGTGGCTGCCTTGTTGCCATTTGCTATGACTTGGGGGTGGAATAATCTAGTTGTGGGGTTTGCAACCAATGCACTTTTTTGTTGTGGACTAGAGAGCAATTCAGAAAGCAGATATGAGGAGGTGAAAAGAATATGTCTCATTATCATTGCACCGAGAACTCTTTCATTGATACTTTATGTAAGCATTTTTTGCCATAAAGTTGGGAAGATCTTTAACTGTTACTGAGAGTGGAGAAGCAGGCTCCAAATTACCATCAGAGGTCACCAGAGCATACTACTTATTCACAAAACTGCACAATCACCTTCCGGAGAAGAGATTGTAGGGGAGCTCACTAGGCTTACAATGTACAAAAGGCAGATCCTGGCAATGGTAGGGAAGGAGTTGATGGCATGAAGGGAACTTGTAATCATTGCCATTGTGATTATTTATTATTCAAGACATAAATGTTGGCAAGGGAAGCAAAAATGATATTCTTCTACACACCAGCATGGCCATAAGTGTGTATCTTTGACTTTTTGGTTTGATCACCAACTTGAACAGGTCAAATGCAATCTTGAAAGAATGCACTTTAGAATCATAGAGTGTTAGTGATAATGGGGGATTATAAAAATGACCTAGTACAAAGGTCCTTAATCTGAGAATATCATTTCAGGAGGCCAGTGAATACTCCCTAGAATTATATGTAAAATTTTGTGTGCATATGCGATTTTCTAGGAAGAAAATCCATAACTTTTATCAAATTCATAATAAAAAGTTTCCTGACCCAGAAAGGTCTAAGAACCACTATTTCTAGTACCTACTCTGCTCTCCCCTCTACACACACACACACACACACACACACACACACACACACACACTTTGTTACCAATAAAGAACACAACTCCCAGAAGTGGAGAATAATTTGCCCAAGACCATACTGCTAAGCTAATGGCAGAGCCAAGAGTTGAAGTCTTTTCTAACTCTGGGTCTGAAACCATGTCTTTCCACTATACCAGAGTTGTTTTAGCAAGCATCAGAACCAAGGAGATTTCAAACAGCAAGGATTTGTGCCACAAGCATAATCTGAATTAGGTTACCTTCGAGATCCTTTACTTTACTGAAATTCTATTCCATCCACCTTAATAGAGAACAGCATTGACAAAGATGATGCCAAACTTTTAGAAATTATTTCCATTTCATTATTAGTCTTTCCCACTCCCCATTGATCCCACTTGTTAATAATGCTTGTTTAGGGCTAATAGTAAAATGAGTTTGCCTCCCATGAGCCTTCACCAGCTGATGGCAGGGTAGGAGTGCATCTCCATCAGGACCAGCCACATAATTTGCAGGACCCACCGTTAGGTAAAAATACAGAGCTACTTGTTAAAATGCATTAAGGAGCCTGACCAGCGTGGCTCAGTGGTTGAGTGTCAACCTATGAACCAAGAGGTCACGGTTCGATTCCCCGTCAGGACACATGCCCAGTTGCAGGCTCAATCCCCAGTGGGGGTCATGCAGGAGGCAGCCTAACAATGATTCTCTCTCATCATTGATATTTCTCTCTCCCTTCCCATTCCTCTCTGAAATCAATAAAAATGTTTTTTAAAGTATTAAGGATTTTAAGCATTTAAGCAAGTGTGGGGCCCTTCTGAGCATGGGCCCCTGTGAGACTGCAGAGGTCACACACCCGTGAAAATGGTCCTGATCTCTATTGAAGCTTTGGTGAAGCCTGGGACAAAGAGGAGCCAGTCTGATTTAAAATTGGCCACACATGATCCACAAAGTTAGAGAGAGTTCTGTATTTAAAATCAAAGAACTTTTCGGCTTATCTGTGTATGTGCTCACATATGCACATGCACATGCACACATACATCAGTTTGAATAAAAATTCCATCTTTCTCTTCATCTAATGCCAAAACCAAAACTGTCTCACTTTAATTTTTCATCTGTGGACCTACTGTGCTGGCATTGTTTAAGCACACATTTTTATCACCAGTTTCCATAACCAAATGACAAAAGAAGGAATGAGTTCTCCCAGAGCATCTAATGAGTCAAGTAGAAGCAGGTACTCAAAAGCAATGGCAGACAACCAGCTAGGGATATTTTAAGCTGCCAGAAAGAGGGAAAGAAGCTTTGGAGTATGCAGTGCAATGAGCCAATAGTCTCCATTTTTTAACATTATAAGAACAAAAAGCATTTAAATTCAAGAATCAGAAATTTGGGGTTCCAACAGGTAAGCAGATTTACCAACTGAGACAATGGCTGGGACTTGGTGCACTTGAGCTATCAGACTTCAGCACCCAAGCTACCACATACCATACTTCCCATTTTAGTGGCATACCAGGGTTCCAAGCTTAATGCACAACATCTGTGCTTCATAAGACTTGAAGCCAAATGTTGGGTGATGTCCCATTGGTTAGCTATATACAGAAACCAAAATATAATGTGCATAATGTGGAATTTACATTGGAAGTGCTTGCAACACTCTAAGCAAACTCAGACTCCTCAACAAACTAAAGGCCAGTTAGTACAAGAGAAAATATAAATTGGGCAAATTAATTTTTATTAGACTCATGTTGTCAGTTGTTGTATAAGGGTCCGAGTACCTCACAGCCAGCTTCATAAGTGCATTTTGCAGTCTAGAGAGAGAAGAAACCAGCACTTCTTCTACAAAGGTAAAGAAATAAATCATGTCACCACAGGTTAAGTCTTCAGAGAGCTTATTTCTCTACTTTTACAACATAGCTTCCAACTCAAAATTCCATACTAAAGCTTAATGCTATAAACATATGGTAGATGCCTAATGACAGTACTCATTCACTCATTCATCCATTTATCCAATATGTACTGACTGACCACTTTTGGATGCCCAGTGCTATGCTAGGCACTGTGCTGAACTGTGTCAAATTTCAACCCAAGTCAGAATTCAGTAGTAAATGCAATATCCACAGAATTATCAACAGGGCAAAAATGAAACAAATTTTTTGAATTTTTTCTAAAGTGTTATTAACTCTTTGTTTGCAGTATCTGTGGGATATGAATATGAAACCTGCCCTGACTTTATTCTCTGGGAGAAAAGGACAGTCATCTTACAAGGTTTCGAGATGGATGCTTCTAACCTAGGAGGCTGGTCATTAAATAAGCATCATATTTTCAATCCTCAAAGTGGTAAGCAGCTTTTAAAATATTACTTAATACTCTTTTCCTAATGCTATATTACATTATATATTACATTATTCATTGTAGAAAATTTGAAAAATTATAAGGAAAAAAATTGCCTGAGGGCTCACAACCTAGAGAAGACCATGTTAGTTTATTTTCTTTCAGATATAATAATCTGATTTCCAATTAGTGCAAGTATAGTGAGACCTCTTCATCACAAAGTTATATGGAACTGGGTTTTGCTATCTTTATTGCTCTATCACAAGTGATTAACAAGTGTATCTGACATTGTAACCGACTTTTTAAAAGTGGAATAATAATCGGCATATTTCATACAATCTAAGACACCTTCAGTTATAAGTACACCATTATTTTATGGAAAATGCTGCTGATTAAACTATGACATACATTGATTGTTATATAAATACTTATTTTAGAGGTGTTTAAATGTGAAGCAAAATGTACACCTGAGAATTAAATAATCATCTATGTAATGCAGTTTCAAAGGGTTTAGTGAACTTTGTCCCATTTTAAACACAGCAACCCTGCAAAATGGCATTAACCTCATTTGAAAGATCAAGAGTCTGAGACTTAAATAGTCATGTGACCTTCCCCAACATTGCAGTCAGTAAGTGGCTAGAGTCATGTGCTCTTTCTCCTACATGGTAGCTGTTTATCCACATAAATATCAGTATGTCCAATAAGAAGGTAGGAGTAAAAGGACAGTGATGGGTAAAAGAAGAGAAGAGCTAGGAGGGGAAGAGTGCTGTACTTGGTTACTCTTAGTTTAAGGCTCCTAAGTCCTGGACTTAGGAAAAGAGGAAAGAGCAATGAGAACAAGACATTCTCATTTTCAGTGTTTTCCTTCTTTGAACCACATTTTCTGCTGTCACTTTGTCCTAGTTTGTAATATAAATGTTAGATAAATCAGGAGAAGGGGCTACAGGTGGATGTTCTGCCCATGTACCTCTCACACAACTGATTTTGCCACCCTGGTCATAAATGCTTCATCATAGTTCCTCCATCTCCTTTTGCATCCTGCTGGGAAACCAGTCATTGGTGTTCCCATCCAGCTTTCATTTGAGCATAAGCTGGTAAGTTTTCACTGAAATCACATTCCTTTTCAGCTGAAGAAGCAGATTCTTAGCAGCCTTCAGTGGAACATGTACTTTGGGTTATTGGTCCAGGATTGGGGTATGAATATATTGAGGCAGCTACATTCTTGCATTTGGCCATCTTGTATCTACCTTACCTTTGTGGACCAGCTGGCTAATGTCCAGTTATCTTTTAAGGTCATGAGCTAAGAGATCCATTTAATAATCAAATCTGTGATCTTACTTCATTTGCACCATAGTTGGATCAGCCAAGCCAAACAGCCACATTGGCTGGGAAATTTTGGTTGGCAAAGCTAACCAGTTTCGCTTCAACCATAGAATGAGATCACCTCCCATATTCCCAATGTGGGATCCTGAAGGTGAATGATTGCATTGCTGTATGCCCCTGTTATACCTCCTCCCCCACTTTCAAGGAAAATTCTAAATTCTATTTCAAATTGCTTATTTTTTTTAAGAGCATAGATTCAGGCACAGATATAAAATGTCAACTTATTTTCCATTGTCAAAAGGAGAATCACAGTTTTAAAAGTACAAAAACGAAAGGGCAGATGCCACTTATTAAATTATTGGATTTTTTTTGTTTTGATTTGAAAAAGTTTGACATTTTAAGCAGCCATTTCTTTTCCACTCACTTTTATTGGCTTGTATGGATTGTCTCTTTCAAATGCCTGTCATTGACATTAAACACAAAATGAGAAATGACCTCAATCGAGCCAGCCCCCAGCTGTGCACTCCCAGTCCTGTATCCTCTTACCATTTGCTTCACACAGGTTTAAACATTCAGAACACAGGGGAGCCATTCAGAAAGTCGGCTTTGGGCCCCTCCTCACATTTCCACAAATGTATTCTCTATACCTCTTATTCTCCAATAACTAATTTTTAGGTAAAGGTACCAATTTATTTCTGAGACTCTTTTTAACAGCTTTATTGAAGTATAATTTATACACCATAAACTTCACCCATTTTAGGTGTACATTTCACTGACTTTTAGTAAATTGTACAGTTGTGCAATCTTCACAACACAATTTCAGAATATTTTTATCACCCCCCCCCAAAAAAAAAAAAACCTGTGCTCACCCCAGCCCCACTAAATCTGTTTTCTGTCTTTTTCTGAGAATTCTATCCTGAGAAAGAAACCTTATTTTGGATAGTTTTTATTAAAGGAACATTTGTTCATTTTATCTTCTCATTTGTAGGCACATTGTATTTCTAACCAGAAATTGGTCACCCTTGCCAGGAACAGATCTGAAGCCAGCTCTGCCATTGCCTTTCAGCCTGACCTTGGACTGGAACACCTCTCTTGGGATATTTGTGAAGTCTAAATCCCACCCAATGGCAGTTT